ACATTTACAGTTTGCATTTACTGCATTGTCCATGACGTTCTATCTTTCTTATGTTATGAAGAAATTTATTTCCTCCATATTGTGTATCTCCATTAGAAGTTATTTTCTTTATATTGTGTATCTTCATCGTGCTTTGTTGCTTGAGATAGTTTTCAATTTTTGTTGCCCTTAGAAGAAGAAAGAGGAATAGTAGACTCGGTTACCAACCTGAAGGAACCTTTCTTAATGCAGTAGAAGTGTACTCCCACTTGAACTTTTGAAGGACAGCCTTTAGTTCCATTAGTTGTTGAAGTAGAGTGTACTCCTACTCGAACTTCTGAGAGACAGCCTCTATTAGTTATCGAAATGTTGTGTGCTCTCACTCGAACCTCCGAAGAGCAACTATTGCTTTCATCAATGCAAGCTTCAATGGTCTTTCTTGTTGAAGTAGAGTGTGTACTCTGGCTCGGACTTCCGAAGAACAGCCCTTACTTTTATCAATACAAGCTTCGAGGGTCTTTCTTGTTGAAGCAGAGTTTGTATTCCCACTCAGACTTTCGAACAATAGCCCTTGCTTCCATCAGTGCCAGCTTCAAGGATCTTTTTTTGTCGAAGTAAAGTGTACTCCTACTCGAACTTTTGAGGGATAACCTTTGCTTCTACTGATTGTCGAAGAAGAGAGTGTACATCCACTCGGACTTCCGAGGGGCAGCTTTGCTTTCACTCAGACTTTCGAGGGACAATCTTTACTTCTGTTAATACGAACTTGGTAGACTCAGTTGCCTGCTAGAAGGGATTTTTTCTTGCCAATGTAGGCTGTATGCTACTTTCAGACTCCTGAGGGACAATTTTGCTTCCATTCAGACTTTCGAGGGACAACCTTTACTCTCATTAATGCAGATTCTGAGGGCCCCGAGGTCGTGGATTTTTGCACAAAAAAAATTTCATTTGCCTGAAATAGTAAAACCAACAAACTAGATAAATAATATCGAGTTCACATTATGATTCAGGCATTATCAAAATGGGGCAACATCAATAAATAATAATGATCTATTTAAGTTACAACAATTCTATTCCTCCGAGCAAGTTCATGAAAATACAACAATCAAGGTTTTATGTATTCAGGTCGATTCCTCTAAAGCCAATGCAAAGCAGCAATGTTCAAACAAAATTTCGGCATCAACTATATTTCCCGAGCATCCACAAGATCAACAAAACAACAATCAAGATTAATACTCAATTTATGGCAGATTTCCCAACACAAGGCCAAATTCCAAACATGAATTTCAAGACTACATTTCACTTACAAATCAAGATTCAACAAGAGCTTTATTTCCCTCAATAACAAAGCACTAGATATTTCAGAAGTCAAGAACACAAATCCCAAATATATATATTTTGCAAGCCCAAGTTCATGAACAACAAAAAAATATATATATTCAAGAATGGGGTTTCGACGAGCACTTCATCATAAATCTGAAGGAGTAGGAAGAGAAGATGGGTCAGTAATGAACAAGACCGACTCTTGCAACAAGCTGTGAGTAGACAGTTGGATCGAGACAACGCAGGTCAGGCACGAAAAAGTGGCAATCGGCGTGGGTTGTAGGTTGCGAAACATGAAGGCCATGCAGACAAGATTGTCCATGCACGGCAGGATCGCAATTGGTTCTCTTAAAGGGCAACGGCGCGTTGAATGGCTCTGGGCAGGCCGATGCTGCGATGAAGTAGAGGCGCCGGTCGGCGGTGGCAAAATAGACGTCGCTAGAGGGCATAGACGCAGTAGTGAGCAAAAAACGAAGCAAGCCTTCGTTGAAGATGGAATCTGAGTCTCTCTGTTAGAGAGAGTGGCCTGAGAAAAGTGTTTTGGCAATAAAAAAAAAAAAAGGGGATAAGGACTAGAATTTGTCCTTTGTGTAAAGTAAAATGTGTGTGATACTGATGGTTCCCTCAAATAGCTAAAGATATATATATATATATATAAAATGAGCCTCCAAGTTATTGTTTTCTCTTGATTAGAGAAGAAAAAGGTTTCTTTTCAAACATTAATGAAATGATTAGGCATTATCATGTGATGGAGGATTTAAGTAGCAAGTCTTTGAAAAAATTTGGAAAAAAAAAGTTGTGTGGGCCCAAGCAATATACATTTTAGATCAAGATCGGAAAAAAAAATCAAGTTTTGATTTTCTTTAAAAATAAAAATAAAAATAAAAATCAAAGGGCACAAAGGTGTGTTAGCCAAACATGGCATGAAAAATAAATAAATAATTCCTTTTTATCTTTATTAGTTGTCAATCTTATCCATAAAATATGATGAGTTATCAATCTCATCCAAAAGTCACATGAGGACAAAATATTCCCGAGGGTGTGAAGCGAATCATGGCCAAAGAAGTGAAAATATGCATGTTCGAGAAATTCAAAATTTCCCACACATGCAAGGGGCAAAATGTAAGAAGGGTTAACTTGAGCCCATTAAATTAATTGGACCCAATTGAAACCCAATCGGAAAGCCCAAAAATTGGTGAGCTTGGAGAAATTATTGCCAAATGTGCCCAAGTGACTTCTATTAAATAGGCCTATAAGAAAGCCAACAAATTGGGTTAAGGAAGACCCACCAACCAGAAATCTCTAAAGAGAGTCCAACAAGCCCATCCGAGAAGGCCCAGATCATATGGGCGTCTGAAGAGGTGAACCATTACTTTCAAAAGAGATGAAACCCTAGGAAGAGATCCATCCTCTGAGGTGTTGGCTTAGTCTTGAAAGGGTTCGGAACCACGAACCTAGAGACCTATTGGAGCTCGGAGTCGAAAGGGTTCGGATCCACTAACCTAGAGATCCGAAAGCGTTTGGCTTCGAACGGATTTAAATGCAATCTAGAAGTCGTCCGTTAATGAGTCCCAGAACACTTGTAGGCTTGGAGTTTTCTGGGATCTACGCACCAAAACCATGGGCGTAACAGAGTCCGAACAAAGGACCTGATCCCAAGGACGGTGAGTGGAGATAAATTCACTCTTTAGTTAAACTAGCCTATACCCAAATCGAGATGGCACGATCTAAGGGGTTCTTGAGACTCAGCAATATTTGTGGTAGGGCGTTCTCTTGAACTACCCCTGACCCTTCTATGGTAGGGCGTCCTCTGGGAATACTTCTGACCCTTTGGGATAATTAGGGATCATTGGTTAGATGTGGCTAAGAAGAAGGGTTCGCCGACAGGTTGATCTTCTCTTCGAGGTTTTCCTCATCCTCGGAGACGTCACCTTCTCGGACAAGGTGGTTAGAGAGAATATTCCCCATGTGCCTTGCACATGGCCTCCATCATACATCATGAGGTGCCTATAAATTGCACCCACCCATAGCTTTACAAGTAAGGGATTTTAGAGAGACAACTCTTGGGAAAGAACTAATTTCCTTTCTTCATTATCTACCTTGAGAGTGAAAGTGGGAGATCCATGGGAAAGCCTTGCTATCATTCTCTCTCTAACTGCTTTGCCTTCTTCTTTACCCAATCTCTTATCTCCATCATCTCCTTGCTATTGTGTTCCTAGTTGTGACTGTTAAAGAATCTAAGCCTCTCATCATTTCTAGAGAATTCGAGTTTTCTTCAAAGATATTCGAAGATTTTTGAATTTTCCGACAACATTCTTGAACCCTCTCATACAAAATGTTATTTTTCTTATGTTATGCCTAATAAATTTTACATATTCTTCCTATTTAGATTTCTTCATCTTCTTTCCTAAGTTTCAATTATTTTTTTCTTGTTCTTCTTCACTCAAAAACTCCAATCCACCCCACCAAAACTCACCATTATCATCAACATCATTGTTTTTATTATATTTATTACTTGCAAATAGAAGAAAGTTTGAATAAAATCAAACAATGAATGAGACTAATAATCGAAACAGTTTTTTAATACAATCTATCAACGATGAGGTAAATATTGACATAATATTAAAATACAATTATTGATTTTTGTGTTTTTTTTTCCTTTACATAAAAGCGAATATTCTGCTTGTTTTTTTTCATTATTATTCGAACTTTCAGAACCCAACAAAGTGCATTTCTTTAATTCTGGAAGTCTGAACGTGAAGTTCACCTTCTGCTTTTCATTCACCATCCTTCTTTGCCAGTGCCGCTTTCACCGATGTCGGGTTCCCTAGTCGTATTCCCTGTATGTATGTGAACAAAAAAAAAAAAAAATTCAAAGGGTATTTCAAAAGTAATTTGAATTTTTTAATTTATCTTATTTAAGTGTACCTCAAAAGGGTAATTTGGGGAAAAAATAGGATGTACTAAGAATAAATTGTAATCCTAAATAATTTAATAAGGTATATTGAAAAATTAAGCTCACTTAAATATTTTTTAGGTGTAAATAGAATTCCCCCACTTCCTCCCCTACCATGCCTAGACAAGGTCATTCGCTTAATTTCATTTATGATTTTTTATTAAGCGGTAGCGCAGTCAATTAGTTTTCTTGAATTGTTGACCCTCAATATGTGCCTTACGTGTCGTTAGATATTTCTTCTTCTTCAATTATTTATTTATTTATTTTTCATAACTGGCCAAACACATGTAAATATCTATCTATTGTCTACTCTGATATCATATTGTTAATCACTAATTCATCTAAAAGATTAAACTGTTATATATGTTTTTTGTTTTATTTTGATTGTTGATATTTTACGTGGTTGAGTGCAAATTTGAACAAAAATATCCCTTCCATTATAAAATTTGGACAAAAATAACGTTGTGGACCATTTTAATACAAGTTGGATAAGTGTGAACCATTTTGACAATTGAAATATGAGATTAAGAAACTGAAATAAGGATTGAAACAAAACTATTTTACTAAGATTCATATAGAATTATAATCCTTAATATGAATGATTTCAAATAAGTATTTCATACATAATTGTGGTTTCAAATCTATGACAGTCCTCTCAAATTCAATCTTGATATTCATATGTAAATGAATATTATTTAAATTTGAATTTAATTTAATCCTTGAATGAACAATATCAAATTCCTTAACTTAACTTAGTACAAACTCTTGCGTCCTTGTAAACTCTTCCCGGTCGACAATAGTAGCCTTTACTTGGGGCACAATGGACATCTTGAGAGCATACACACAACCCTTCTAGAGCACAACCCTCCTGGACCATTGTCACTCCGTTTTGCAATCCAAGTAATCGGTTTGTCCAGTCGCTAGAGAAAATCCCTAATGGATCATACCTCGCCTTCACCTTCAAGAACTCTCCAACATTCTTGTATTTTTTGATTACACCATCAAGCGCTACGTTTCGATTCTTGCCCCAATGGGGCAACCCTTCGTATTTGAACAAGCCAAGCTGCTCCACCTCCTCAAGTATGTCTTCATAAAGCCTAGGGGTCATTGGGTCTTTGCTCCGATAATAAGTGATATCAAAGTCTACACCACCTTCTTGTTTGCCTAAGAAAGCACTTAAGGACTTCACATACCTCATGAGGACTCCATTGTACAAGTCTAGGACACTCAATGCTTTAGGCTCCAAATCAACTAGTTTTTGCACATCTTGAATGAAGCTCTTGACATTGGATAAGCTAACACTGAATGCGGTTTGGTGGAAGAAGAGTCCCTTAACCTTATGGTCCCACAGGCACATTGTGATCTTTCCATTCTCATGGCTATCAAGGCAAGTTCCTAAGGATTGGAGGTGGTTGTGATACCCAACCACTAGGTTGTAGACACCCCATTTTTGACCATCCTCAAGACTTGGACATCACTATTGGAACACTCGGTGATTATCCATGTTTGTGTTCGTTTGGAGTTCCCGGAGGTCTCGGCTACGCGCCTTGCCTCAAGATCTCCGAACTTGACTGTTTAGTGTCTGGTTTTGCACCAAACACTTGTGTTTTGCCTTGGAGGGATAGGGAATGCCTTGTAAGGCATCCCCACACACCACCGGCAGTGACCAGGGGCCACCGGCTGGTTTTTGTTTCCATCGGCAATCTATTTTGCCGGTCGGCACTCTTTGTTGCCGGTCGGCACTCCTTTTTGCCAAAATGGCATCTTTGGCCGGCAGACTACTGTGCATCTGCTTTTCCAGATATTTTATCACAGCTGTCTTGCTTTTGACTCCCCTCCATACACGTGTATGGAGGGATCTCTCTCTTGGAAGCTTGCCTTGTAAGCTGCTTTACAAGACAAAAGCTCTATAAGAGAGAGCCTTCTCTCTTGGCTTTAGGGTTAGACACTAGAGACTTAAGATATTTTTAGATAGCCATTTTTAGGGTTTTGAGTTCTAGGGTTAGAAACCATACACTTTCTATCTCTATATCTCCCTCTTGTGTGTGTTAAATTGTGTTTGTGCCTTACTATTGCACACAAACACAATAGTGTTTCACCTTCACTTAGCTACTGAGGTTCTAAGAGGTTGGTTTTGAAGTTTTGGAGCTGTTTTCAACCTAGAAGGAGCTGTTGGAGCACCATTGTTGAAGGGGTCTGCAAGGGTAACAATTTAGCCTCTTTATTCCTAATCTTGCATTGCTTTCTACCTGTCTTAAAGTCGTTTTTGAGCTTGGTGTATAATACAAAAAAGTTTTTTTTTAGGCCCTCTAAATTGTTTTTTAGAGTGTTTTGTGTTTGAAGTTTGACCCCTCTTAGGCCTTGAAAGGCCCCATTTTGTGCTATTTTGAGTGAGTTTCGAGACTTGGGTGTTTGGGCCTCTTTCACCATTGAAATCTTGAGGGATTTCAGTGGCGGAGATGGTGCCTTGAAGTCTCCAAAAGGGGAGGGCCACCCCCTCTCCTTGTTGCCTTGAAAGAGACCTTTTTTGGCCTCTTGAGAGAGCATCATGTTAGAGTGTGTATTGATCATGTCTTGGTTGTTTTCCATGCTTATTATGCCATGATATAACCTTGTTGTGTGTTGATTTTGGTACACCATGCATGCTTAGTATACCTACCATGTAATGCCTTGTTGTTGCCTTAATATGCCTTAGGTTGTTAGCCTTTGCTCGAGCATGTTTTAGGTCTCGTTTTGTGAAGCTTGTGTGCTTATTTGCCATGCTAGAGGTCTGTCCATAGTTGTTTGGGTCGGCCATGGCACGCATTATATGCCCCCTTTGCATTTGGCTGTTGGCCTCAGTGTGTGAGTTTGTAGCATGCACTATTTGCTTTATTCTAATGATTTGGCATCATTTTTAGCATAATTTCAGACCTTATGCATGCTTGTATGTTTGCTTTGGACACCTCTTTGAAGCTTTGGAGCTGATTGCATGCCCCATGTTTTGGCCTTGTGTATGCCTTTGAATTTGAGCCACTTAGATGCCATCTAGGGGGTCCCCTTTGCATGGTCTAGGTCTGCTTGAACCTATTTTTAAGTCCTCTTAGCCTTGTTAGGCTTGGTTGGCTTGGTCATGGTCCAAGCCCCTTTGACTTGGTTCAAGCACTTGGGCCTTTTGTTGCATGTTTAGCTTGATTTGTTGCTTGGTTTGGCACCATGTTTTAATATGATTTTCAGAGCTTAGTTGCATGCTAATTGTCCATGATATCCTTTTCAAGTGTGCTTGAGAGTTGCCCCATTTGTGCCTAAGTGTTGACCTTTAATCATGTGCATGTGTGCATGGTTATTTGGTCCCTTATTATTGCACTATGGCCACTGTTTTAGGCCTATTTAGAGTTGCCTAAAACATGTATATAGTCCACCTTTTCATAAATCTTGCATTGCCTCATGTTTCTTGTATGCTTGCATAAGTGTCTTGCCATGCGCATGTTGCATCTTAGCATGTATGCCTAGGTTGCATTGCATCTTGCATGCATGCTTTATTCCTTGACTCGTGATAGGAATTGGGCCTTGGTTCATTGTTGTTTGCATTTCATTTGACATGAAAGTTGCACACTTGATTCTTTGGCCATCATGCATGGAAATGCGTGATGGCGGTCCGAGAGATCGAAACACATGCCATTTTGAGTCACAAACCATGAATAGGAGCATGATTGGTGCATACATTGCTTGAATTGTATGTCATGCAAGTTCTTGTCCTCTGTTGCTGTGAGTTGCAGGTTTCTGCAGGCATCCTTGCCGATCGGCAGTATATATTGCCGACTGGCAGTAATTCACCAGCCGATGGATTCATTTTGTGCCGGTGACCCAAATTCACTGTCGGGGTAATTCTATCAGCCGGTGGTGATTCCCAGCATCCAGAGAAACATCCCTGAGTTTTGGTAGCCTCCAGAGGAGCAGAGCAGGGAAAACAGAGGCAGACTATGCATGGCCGTGCACTTTCCGAACGGGACCCGAGCATGCGCGCTGCATCTGGCTCTCCTCCCGAGGCGGTTTACTGTTTTTCTAGATTAGTTAATTTATTTTAATTAATTAGGCAATTTTAATATTTAATTAGCTTGCGTAATTAATTAATTTGTATCATTTATTGGGTCCCTCCGCGCGAGGCAAATCTGTAATAAGTGTTGTGGTGAAGTAGTGTGCATGTCTTCCAATCCCCACTTCTGCTTCCCTTTTTATACCTGCTTATGATGGTAGACTAGGGCATATTTAAATTAGCATACACTTATGCTATGCATGCGTGCAGTCATCCATTTGTTTTGCATGCATCCGGGCTCGGTTATATCATGCTAACTGCATTTGTATTCAATTCCAAATTGAATACGTGCATCAATTGGTTGCATCTCACATGCCATGTTTAGTTGGCCGAGCCTACTCTAATTGCATTTTGCATGTGTCACATTAGTAACTTGGCATGAACTAGGATCATGCATGTTTTGCTAACAGTTTGTTGTTGGGCACGGAGTACGATGTAAGTATTTTCGCTTAGCATATTGTACGCGTGTGAATGCTGCCATGATAATATGCTTACCATGTGGCTCAGTGCTTATATGAGATAAACTGTTTGAATGCCTGTGGGTGAAGGTTGGATGTTTGATTGGAAAAACTCATTGAGAATCCGTATTTTAGCCTACTTGCGAGTAGCAAATTCCAGAAGCGCTTTTCAAAAACAAACGGATATGCAATGCTTATTTCCAAATTAGACAATCTAGTCTATACTATTTGCTGTGCGCATAACATAGTAATTCTAGGCTAACACAATGGAATAAGAACACATAACGTTTTCAAAATCGGATATCATAGTTAGATAGAGGCCGGTCTTCGGACGGGCGAAAGGGGGTGCTCAAGCTGACCTTCCCGATCGTACCCTAGCTCCCAGCCGAGACAACTCCGGTGATGACGGACACTGGCGCCTTGGCACCGAGTCAAGTGTTCCTAAATTCCCCATTTTAAAATATTTAGGTGCGACTCTGTATCTGGCAAAGCAGTCCATGTTTGGCACTTTTTTCCTAAAATCTGTTTCTCAACAACGATTTGCCAGATTTGGACTCTTTGGTTCAAGATTAAGAATCGTGACACAAAATCGAGTCGCGAACTGTAGTAGCGGGGTCCCTCGCAGGTGCGCGTGCTACATAGGTACCCCGTAAATATAATACCTGTTAAAATATGAAGGGTTAATATTAAATTTTTATCCCCTAAATATTTCACTCATTTTGTGTTTAAATTTTATTTCTAAACTATTTTCAACTATTTAGTCCTTAAATTTTTTTTTATTTCAGTTCATATGATCTAATTGGATAATTGTCCATTCAAATTAGTAATAATAAACCTAATGTGCTATAAAACCTAATGTGCTTTGATCCTATATTAAATTGTGACATTATCCATGGCCTTGTTACCTAATATAAATGGAGAAGCACTTGGGTGTTTGTTTGGAAGAGATTGTGAGTTCAACCTACAAAGACTAATATAACAAAATTGATTTTCGTCGATAAAAAAAATATTTACAGTTTAAAAGTTTAAATTAATAGAGATGAGATAGTTTTACTCAGTTGTATCCTCGACAACAATAACAAAAGCGGATGCACAACTTTTAGCGTGAGGAAAAAGAATCCCCCCAAAAAAAAGAGGAAAAAAGGAGGATAAATTATGAAAATGATACATATAGTTTTACGATGTGTTAATTTGGTCTATGTTTGTAATTTGCTCGATTTTACTTCTTAATTTGACAGATTGTATCAATTAGTCCAATAAATAACGGCGTTAGATTTGGTGATTGAAAATCAAAAAGTGTGTCAATTTGGCCCCTATTGTTTAATTGCTCGGTTTTGATAGAAACCAAATTGAAAATCATGTAAATATAGGGACTAAATTAAACACATCGTATGACTTCCATCCAGCAAATCTAATAGCTGTTATTTATTGGACTAATATGACACCAATGTTAAATTAAGGGATAAAACTGAGCAAATTAAAACAAGAGGACCAAATTGACACATCGTGGTAACTTATAAAAATCATTTGTATATTTACCAAAAGAGAAAAAGAAAAGAAAAGAAAAGAAATGTTGAACTAATATATTTAGTGGTCTTTTGGCAAGTTTGGGTTAAAAGTTGAGTTTTGCAGCTTGGGGCTAAAAAAGCTAGATGGCTTTTTTTTAGTTATGGAGTCATTGCAGTCTAAAAAAGCTACATATAAAATTATATTATACCCTTTTATTATTTAGGATTATAATGGGTGAAAATGTAAATTTTCTAAATTGGGTGGGTAGTTTGGTCATTTTATTGGATATAACATCATAAATAATATTAATCAAAAAAAGTCAAACAACTTTTAACCATCTTCCCAAATCACTTTCTAAAAAAGCCCAAAAAATTTAGTAAAAAGCCAAAAAAACTAACTTACCATCTTTCGAAACACCCTTAATTCCAAACATATTTGTGAAATCTTATCAGATCAGGAGGTTTATCATGAGTTTCGAGCTCTTTTTAGGCCAAGAGTAGGAATTTGGACACGGTGTTACAGAATTATAGTTTATAAAATAAGCAAAAAAAAAAAAAGCTAAATTTATTAAATTATGAATGAAAAAAAATGATTTTGATGAATTTTATTTCATGTCACCAAGTTTTAGTTGATAAAGGAAATCTAATAGATTTTAAAAAGTCAAGCCGTTTAATATCTAATAACAAAACAACTCGAATTTTTCTTGATGGGGCTTTTGTTCCTTTGTCAAAATTTAGAATGGGTTTCAATCCAAAGGCTAAAAATGTCTCACTCTCTATTTGTCACACTCCATTTCATCTCTCTTCAAATTTGAACACTCTCCTCTCTCTCTCTCTCTCTCTCTCTACCTCCATAAAGCCCATTCCCGTCCTTCCTTGTCGAAGCCCAACCCTTGCTGGCGACCAAACCCCAAACCCCTATTACTTTCTTCATCTTCTCTCTTCCTCACTCTCTCTCTTCGCCATTCCAATCGCCCCAAACCTCATTCAATATTGACGAAGGGAGCCACTGTAAAAGGGGAAAGAGTACTCTCTCG